GAAAAGCAACTCACTTTTCAGATGCATAACAAACTGGGGGTTCAGCCTGACCACTTCTGAATTTTGATTTTATGAAATTACCATATATCTGTGGATCCCCCATGAGTTAGCAGACTTGTGTCATGTCTCTTCCAGGCCAGAGACAATGGTGAATGATCACTATTCAGTGATCAGCTGTTCAGAGTAAAACACCTTGGGACAATAGGTTTGCTCTGCCTGGGAGAAGACACTTTCTCCTCTTGTCTGAAGGGGTGGGTGGTTTGAGGGTAATGGAAAATTACCAAAAGGCAGAACAAAAGAAGTAGGTGACCCCCACCAGGAGTCTATAAAGGGACTGACAAGAGGGAATGAGAGGAGACACAGCCATCTTGCACTACAAACATTAAGATGCAGGAAGCTGCTGCAGGGGCAAGGTAGGCAACAGGGTGGAGGACTCTGCCTGCCTGTGAGAATACAGATGATTTCTCAAGGGAAGGATGAGCTAATGAGGGACATTGTGTGCAGAAGGTTTTATTGTTTGGTGTGATCTGTATTCTCCTGTGCTTTACATGATGAAATATAAAGAGCATAAAGTTTGATACATTAAACAAAGTAAGAGTGAGTGACTGAGAGAGAGAGACCTTCACAAATACTGTGTGCCTCTGAGGGAGTCAAATTTGTAAACGAAAAGCATCAGACCTTGGCGGTGGAGTTCTGGGGGAGGGTGTGTTTAAGTACTGGGAGTCTGAAGGGTCAGCCAGGAGGGGTAAGTGACTGGACAGCAGGTTCCAACACGCAGAGGGGGAGTTCCAGATAGAAGGTCTGGGCCCTGTGAGTGTGCCTAAGGTGGTGCAATGGCTGCACTCCATTCAGGTTCATGGAGCTTGAAATACCTTTGACAATTCAGAGTTCAAAGGCTTGGAGTCCCTTTGGCATTCCTAGGGGATGGCCAAAAAGGGGCGCTCGCTAGGATCTGTGACAACACGCATCCCAGAATTAAGACCAATGGGTCTAATTCAGAGATATATCAAAGATGGTGAGTCACCATTTCACTCCTGAATATGGCTCAACACAGATTCAAAGGGAGTTTTGCCTAAATAAGTGCAGATTTCAGTTCTTTTCTTTCGTATGCCAACCCTTTTTATGAAGAGTCACCTTGCTAGCATCATGCTCTTTAAATTTACTGTATGTGAAATACTGTATCTTTCGATACACTGCGTGTAATAAAACTGGGTAACCTTTTAGTTCGTTGTGCTTTTAATTTGATTGCTCTTCATTCAGAGAGTGAAATTATTCATCACATTAGTATGTCATATCTAACCAAATTGCAATGAAAAGAGGATCGATAATTAGAGTACAGTTTGCTGTAGATTTGTTAAACTTTAGTTTTTGTTAAACTTTACAGTTATTTTTAAAGACATACCTTTCAGTACAGTCTATTATAGGTACATGATATATATCTCAATCTTCCAAACATTCAGAGTAAACCAGCTCGATACATTGCACTTACTATTCTCAATGAAGACTGTATGCATCTACATAACTGTGCCCTCAAGAGGTTATAGACAGTATAACTTTCACATTGGTTATCAGTACTCAGAAACAATACAGCAAAAGTGCTTGTAAAGTATCAGCTACAGCAGTAGCAGTTCTCAAACTATGATCTGTGGGCCACTGATGGTCAACAGAGAGCTGGCTATCCAAATGGTGCTGGCTCCTTTTCCTTGTTTCTGGCTGCTAATTGCATAAGAAGAAACTAAATATACATTAAACACTTTCCTAAATGTTACTTTTCCATGTAAGCAATTGTTGTAATCGCTGCAGTGATATTGGGATCATAATTAGGATGGGAAGTGGTTTGTGTGATTGAGAATGGGAGGGAAGAGTCCACAAGGCAATCTCTGTGTTAAGACTGAAAAAGTTTAAGAACCCCAGAGCATAGTATCCTAGTATTGTTTTAAAATATATACAGACCCCACTCTCAGGATCCTCTGAAACAGTAAACGAGCCTCTTAAATGCCAGACAAACCAATTTTGAAACTGCTGTTCCTAGTCTGTGGGGATTTGCAGTTTCATGCAGGTTCTATCATTCATTTTTCAGGAGAGGAGTTGGTTTATGGTAAGCAGCCATGAGTAACTAACTCTTGGTTGCCACATACAGCAACAACTCTGTGAAACCCCAGCTGTAAAGCCTTAGCACCATTTCACTAGGGCAGGCTTAGCTGGTTTTACACAGGGGTTACTCCACTGACCTCCCTAGAGTTACTCCTGATTTGCACTCAGGTGAGAGGAGAATCAGGCCCTGTGTTACTAGTGCCCACCCACATCATCTCAATAGCAGAGTAAAAAGCCTCTGATACCAGAGTAGGACAATCAGATCAATTTGTCAGTATTGGCCCGCCCCCAATCGCTGTATCCGAACTGTATCGTGTTCTCACCTGCCCTTATGTCTCCCACTACAAGGCATTTGGCCAGTTAGTTTATTCACCCAAGTTAGTGCCTTTTAAAACACTTAGTGCCCATAACTGTAGTACCTATCAAAACCCATGAGCTAGAAAATCTATCATGTTTTTATGTTTGTGTTTAACATCAGCTAATATTCTTTTACATTCAAACATTCCCCCTGAGTTGTTGACAGCAGGCACAACAAGTGTGCTGATGCAAAAGAATCAGAAGGTGAAAGCATCTATAAACAGAAGGTGAAAACTGACTGACCTAGAATCACTGCCAAACTGAGTGAAAGGCAAAAAGATAAACAAACAGCATAAAAATACATTCGATAATTAACATACTTTTCCTTTCAATAGTCTATGTCTTGATTAGTAATATACATAGAGTAATAGTAAGGTTTTTGGGGAGGAAATTGGGATAAATCTTCAGCTGGTGCATAGCTCCTTAAGACCATGGAGCTATGCAGCTTTACACCAGCTAAGGATCTGACCTCTGTTCTTTACTTTGACAGTGTCCCTTTAACTTGTCCAAGTTACTGACCCACCACACCATCCCCCATCCCTAAGGCCTTAAGTTGCTTTTTATGTACCTTCAGAAGTGATGGTTTCTCAATTAGTTCATTTCTTGGGCATTTTACAGCATTGCTGCACGAAATCAGAGATAACCCTAAAACCCAGTAGAGGGGGAAATTACACATGCTGTGTAAATAATTTCTGAACTGTAAGTAAAGTTGTCTGTGATTTTCACAAGTTCACTGATCTTTTGGATTGCACCTTCTGAAAATAAACTCTGAACACTTACGTCCACCCCTCCTTGGAAAATTGTTTTGCAGTCTATGCTGGAAAACTCCGTTGGCTTGCACTGTAACCAGTCTAGACAGTATTTGGTCCTGCCATGCGGGCAGGGGACTGCACTCGATGACCTCTCGAGGTCCCTTCCAGTCCTAGAATCTATGAATCTATGAATCTTAAGGATGCCTCTTCCCTCATCACATTTGATTCCAAGTCTCCATCAGCAGTCAGAGAGGGGTGGCATACTAGTTACAGCACAAGACAAAGCCACAAAGATTTGTGAGTTTTCCATTCTTTCTGTTCCCCTTCCCTCAATATTGACTGTGGAGGTTGTCATATTTCACTAGCATGGATTGTAATCAGACACAGGGGCAGCCTGGCCAGCAAGCCTGCAGAAAGGGGGAGTGCTGCCACAAAAACTGGATCAACTAAAATTAAAATCATCTGATCAGAGACAAATTGAAAACAGAAAACAGTGGCTAAAAAGCAAGCAGGAGTGAAGCCTTTGTGGTGGGTGGAAGTGAAAATAACCAGTCTGAGTGGGATCACACATATTATTTAATCAAATATCTCTCCATCCCTCTGCCTGCGGGCGGGGGAGAGGGTGGAATTTCATGACAAAGTGGGCTTTTGGAACTGTAAGTTACTGTCACAATTCTCTCTCAAGGCGTTGCTATTTTCTTCCAGATTGTGAGCCATATTAAATACAGAAATGTCTATAGGTCACACAGCAGACAGAAGGCTGAAGTAACAGTGTCAGGTTATTTCTGAGTGTAGAAATTACTTCAAAGCTTTGCGTCAGATTCTCAGCTGATGTAAATGAGCTCCTTAATGGACCTACAACTTACACTAGCTGAGGATCTGGCCCAGATAGTCTTCCTTTCCTTTCCCCTGATTTTCAACTTTAAATTGTGTAGTGCAGTCTTGTTTGCAGTGATATACTTAAACATTTATTTCCATTTCATTACTGTGTGAGCCCTGTTTGGAGGGGAAGGAATTACAAGTCCCAATGAAGCACACAACTATGCTTTCTGAATTTGCACTCCTAGAAATGGCTATCACAGGACATGTGAAACATAGCAGCTTTGATGGTTTCTGCGCTGAATGCCATTGAAATACATAACCTCACTATAAATAGTACAGCCTAAAATCTCATTCATTTGAATGGTTATTCAAGAGGAAAGTGTTGCTGGAACATATGCAATGTTCCAGCACCACTTACAACAATACCGTGATGCTTTACTCTGAAAAATGACTCTACAAGCATAGCATTGTGGGGTTCCAAGTTTAATATCTCAGGAACTTTGAGGTCAAATTTGATCTCAATCTATAAGAAAAAAAAATTCTCCTTAACTGTCAGCACTGCAAACTCCAGCTAGGACCTGAGAGTCAAGCTGTATTCTTTCTGGCTTTGGATCCTCTATTCTGTAATAAAGATTCTCCAGTTGGAATCTCGGGTTTGACCCTGCAGTTGGATCCAAGTGGGTAAACCCATACCCCCTTGCAGTGCCCTACTGAAGTCAAGGCAAACCCAAGACAAAAGACAATCCCTTCCCCAAGGCGCTTACAATTTAATTGTACTCTTACAACCTAATAATAGTTTTAAGTGATTTAATGCAGCATACTATTCTGAAAGGTTAAATGCCAGCCTGACAGGAACTTCAGTATATGAGAATGAACAAGGTTAACTGAAACCTGCAGAGGTGCTATCGTAAGAAGAGAGAAAATAATGCAGTCACTGTACAAGCACAGTACAGGAACCAAAAGCTTGTGACTTACCTCCCAGAAACTGGATGCCTCCTGCTACCCTGCCCACAGTTCTGGAGATGAGCTCGGACACACAGCAGCCCATGAGTGCAGTCAGCGCCACCAAAAGGAGGAGGCCACAGCCCAGCCCCGTCACCACGGTGCAGATCCTCCACTCAGCACTTGGGATGGCCTGGAAGGATGCGTAGCGGCCACACTGCTCTACCATCACTGTAGTCTGGCGGCTCTCATCCCGCACTGGATAGGAACACCTCCGGAAAGTGCCAAAGGACACTGACTTCTCCAGCTGAGACCCCAACAGCCAGTAGGGCATAAAGAATCCTATGCAGGAAGCAGCAGCGCAGAGGAAGGAGAGAAGTGCCCAGATCATCCCAGTGCAAGTAAGGCTGGATGCCATCTTTCTACTCACAACCAATAACGGTAGCAATGAGGAGAGAGGGACTGTGTGTGTGTGTTAGTTTGGGGAGATTTATGAGTAACCCAGAATCTTTCAGTCCCGGTCAATCCTCAGCCTAGTAAAATCTTGAATCCTAAAGGCCATGACGCTCTCTTCCGTCATGAAGATGAAGGTCCCTGGTTAAATAATAACAAGGAGGAAAATAAAAATTCAATAATATTAAAGTAATAAAATAAATAATAATCAATTCCACTCTCTGTAGTGCATTCCTTCCAAGAATCTCAAAGCAATGAGACACTGTTCACATAAATCACACTTCTACCTCAAAATGGCTTCCCTACTATTATTACAAATAGCACCTAGAATTGCCACAACTGACAGAGATTAGAGAATCAATATTCCATTTTCTTTACTATGTTCATTTGCCAGCACTGTAGAGCCAGTTTCAATGTCCGTCCCCCCCACCCCCACGTAGTAAGTTAGTCAGTCATTTTCCTCTGTTGTTTGTGTTGATCTTTCACACAGGGGAAAGGAAAACATCTATTTAATCCTTAACATTTGAGGCCCTGATCCTGCAAAGACTTACATACATGCTTAACTTTATGCATTCAATGGGACGACTCATAGTAAAGTTAAGTATCTGAATAAGTCTTTGCAGGATTGAGGCCCTTGGGAAGTTACGTAAGTAGTATTAAAGCACCTAATTCACAGATGAGTAAAATGAGACTTCCATAGGTTAAAATTTTGTCCAAAATGGCCAGGGATTTTTGGTGCATCAGTGCTCAGGTTCCCAAAAGGAGACACCTTGTGCCTGATTTACAGGGATGCTAAGCATCCACAATTCCAACTAAAGTCAATGGCAGCTGCAGGCATATTAGTACCAAACTATCCCAAGTTGAGTACCCAAAAATCTGTGCTGCTTAAAAGAAGCAGCCACATTTAAAATTTTGCCTGCAAGTGGTTTGCTAAAGACCTGAGGAACACAGCCTGGCTCCCAGCCTCCTTCTCTAACAATTACGTATCTCTAATGTAGCACTGTAGCATCCTCCCACTTCCGATTACAGTACAGAACTAATCACTACTCTCCAAAAGTTGGAGGAATATTTTTTTTAAATCCACAATGGATCATTACGTCTGAATCCAATAGCATTTGTATGGTTATGATCATTTCTCACAGTTGCTGCCAAATGAATTCTGACAGCTATTTACTTTTTTTTTAAAGCATGGCTACATGCCAAGTCAGTGAATTCACTTCATGTACAGGCAATAAAATTAATACTCCATTTTTACCAGCAGGGAATGTAGGAAAGGGTCTTAAAATGAAATTAACCATGCACACCACATTAAAGTTTGTTTACTTTTTTAATTTATTTAAGAAAAATAATCCTCTGCTATGAAGCTTATTTTCTGGCAGAAGAGTCTGTATGTATTTGTACCAATCATCTGTATGTATTCACCTCACCTCTGACCTACAAAAGATCAAAAACATGGGAGGAAAACCTAAAAAGTGGTATATAATGTATCCTGTCTCCTCTGTGTCTCTTTAGGTGGTAGGCTCTTTGGACCAAAGGTTGTCCTTATCTCTGTGGCTCATGCAGTCCACATCACACTAGCTCGATGATGATAATTAACAATATACAGGTAGATCACGGTGCTTGAATTTCCCCCCCCCCCCGATTATTAGGAAAGATCACGTGCTTTAAAATAAAGGACAATATGGAGAATTTGGTGGTAAGGTGCCAGATGCTACTCCCTGTGAAATGAAAAGCAAAGCTCCCATTGACTTCAACGGGAGCAGGATCTCGCCCTAGGAAAGTCTGCTTTCATTCATAGCCCGACGTGCTAGTTTAAAAAAACAAACCTATGTTGCACTGTACTTTTTGTGTGCGGAACAATGTACCCAATATGTCAGTGTCAACTTGAAATCTGAACCCGTCCAGCCTGCATGAAGATACAAAGTCTCCGGAGCCCTTTCTGGTCCGGGGGTAGAACCGCTCTCCCATTCCCTCTCACGCTGCCCCCCTAAACTTTCCGGGAGGCGTTACTGTAGCAGAGCCCCCGCACTGAGAAAACCCCCGTTACCTGGTTCACGTGGCAGCTGTGAGTGACTGTGCAGCGCAGCGCAGCCCGGGCGATCTGGAGGCAGGGATGAGCCAGGTCCTGGCTGTCTGCCGGGGGAAGTTGCCCCTGTCAGGTGAGAAGGTGCCGGGCACAAGGCAGCCGCCCGACTGCTGGGCGGCCAACTTCCAGCCCGGCGGAGGCGCCCAGCCAGGCGCGCTGCTCCCAGCTGCAGCGGGGCAGGCAGCCGCGGCAATGCTCCGCGGGGCTGGAAAGGCACCAGCCAGCCAGCAGCGGGGCGGGGAGCAGCCCACGGGCCGAGAAAGGCGGGTACTGACCCGCTGTGCCAAGGGCTCGCTCGGATCCTCCCGCTCCCAGATGCGCGGGGAACCCTCCCGGCAGCGGCGCAGGGCGGGCGGGGCTGGAGGACACAGGCGGGGGCGGTGCGGGGCTGGGAGGCTCGCGTGGCCCCTGCTCCTGCCCCCCGCGCCCGGGCACTCCCGGCAGAGGGCTGTGTGGGCTGCCGCTGCCACGCAATGGGCTTCAAGGCAGGCAGGGCGCGCGGCTGCTTTCCCCTCCCACCGCCTCCTGCTCACCGGGCGGGACCCCGCTGCAGGCACGGCAATTGCGGGGCTAGCCGGGACATTCTTGGAGACTGAGAAGCGCAGAGACGGGGGCGGCACAGGCGAGTGGGTGTCAAACTCCCCGGAGAAGCATCAGTCAAGGGAGCCCCGCCCCCCCAGACCCTGCGGGGGGGTGTGGAGCGATGTGGGGGGAGAAGGGGATGGATACGTGGGCTGAGGAATAGTGGAGAAAGTTACATTGCAGTGGGGCCTTGGGTTGTGTCTCTTCTGGGGGGAGGCTTGTTCCCAACAGTGAGGCAGATAGGGAGAGCTGGAGGAGCACAAGCCAGCCGCAGAGAGGAGGATAGGATCGGAGAGGGGTGAAGGCTGCAATCCTTAAATGGAAGAAGATGGGCTAATCCCCTGAGGACAGTTGTATGGAGGGGGGGGGGGGGCGTTGCTGCTGATGCTCCAGCATTTTGATCAGGACAGTTTGGGAGCTGCTTTGCACAGAGGAGAAATGTGGTCAGGGCGTGAGGAGCCACCAAAGGAGACAGGGTGGGAGTTTAGCTAATGTTGCTGCAGCAGCCCCACAGGGCTGGGATAGGTCATGCCAAGGGCTGTGGGCAGCAACATTTTCCCAGTGTCTCTAGTGGGAAAGGTTTTTTTGCAAACTTTTTTTTTTAAACAAAAAAATTCACTGGGAATGAAACATTTCCTGCTTTATTTGTTTTTTTCCTAGCTTGAGTAAGTTTTTTTCAGACAAGACACTTAGATGCCAGGATTAAATCACATCTGCAGCAGAAATGCAAAATTTCCCTCCTAGCGTTTCTTTTTCAATCCTGGAACACGGTTTGGGATCTAAGTACTAGTCATGAATATTATTGATGTTAAATGAAAGAAATGCCATGTTCAGAATTAGATCACAGACCTGCTTTGCTGGCAATTTTTTTTTTTTTTAGTAAGACTCTTTTTACAAACAACAAAGTTTTAAAATCAGAGTAGTATCAAGCCTGTTCATTTCTCAAGAGAGATAAAAGCAAGCTTTAATGTGTATAGAAATAATAGCCTTTCATCATACAATTCAAAAGTGCATTCCTTAAGGGACATTGTTTCAAGGAGAAATAGAGGAAGTCTGGTTTATTGGGTAGAACAAGATACTGGAAATCAGGGCTATTACTTTTTTAATGTGTTATTTGTATTATAGTAGTACCAAGAGGCCTTGACCAAGAGCGGGATTCTGTTGTCCTAGGCACTGCACATACACAAAGACTGTCTCTGATCCAAAGAGTTTTCAGTCTGATATACAGGAGGTCAGACTAGATGATGTACAGACCCCTTCTGGCCTTAAACTGTGGGCCTTGTTTTCAGAAGAACACAGACACATGCTTAAGTTTAAGCATCTGCTGAAGTGCTTTGCTAACTAGACAAGACAGGCAAAGGAAATGTTGTTACTCTCATTTTACAGAGAGTGAACTGATGCACAAAGAGATCAGATGACTTTTCCAGGACATCTGTGGCAGAGCCAAGAGTTGAATCTGGAAATGCAGAATACCAGTCCAATGCCTTATGGGCAAGACCATCCTGCCTTTTGGTTCTAGCCCTGGCTCTGCCACTGGCTTTCTTTGTGACACTGCACCAGTCAGTTCGAATGCATTCCTTCAAGGCGTAGAGCACTTCCTGACAAGCATTGAGAATCTTCGCTACAACTGACATCTGTCCAGTCAGCACTTTGCACATGTAGGTTTTTGATCTATCTGTTCTTCGCTTTTCCTATCCAGGAAATGATGATGATGGTCAACTCCCATAGGGGAGATGTGAGGTTTAACATTTGCAAAGTGCTTTGAGATTATTGTTTGAAAGCTTCTGTAAATGTGAATTATTATTATAGGGCATTATTGTTAAATTCCCATTGTTTAAGGCCTGATCCTGCACTCCTTGCTCAGGCAAAACTCCCATTGACTTCAAGGATTGGGTGTAAGAGTAATGCAGTGATAAATGTGTCTAAATTATGTCTATGATGGAATTAGACATGCATACAAATTGTTAGAATGTCAATAGAAAACTTTTAAACTCACATACATAAGGCGAGTTTTAGTTAAAACTGCTGGAGCTAAAAGAGCTTTCAGGGGACAAGTACACAAACATTTATTTATTAGTGCAGGGCATTTGTAGTCTATCTCCTTCACTGTGGAAACAGAAAGATTTCCATTGTACCTAGATGGATTTAAAAATTCTCTTTTAAAACAGGAGTGTCTGGATTAGAAATTGAGTGGTTTCTCTGAAATTGTCTTCTTTATGCCAAGGTACCTAAATCTTTGCTTAGTATGCTACTCGTGACTCAACAGCATGTAGTCTACTTACATTCTATGTTCTATCTGAAGGGTGCATTTATATCCAAGTACACATGAGGTAGCTGCTGCAATGCTACCTTCCATTCATGAAGACTCCACAATCACCAGGATTTTGCATCCATCCTGAAGGATTTCATCTTGCCTACTGTCTCTGAATTTCCCTAAGCTAGGCATGCACCAAGCATTTTCACTTGCAGGAAACGTGCTATATTTCACCATCCATTTTTTGTTAGAGAAGAGTGAGTATTGGTTTGACTTGAATTAAATTTAAACAAATCACTTTTGATAAGTTAATATGCAAACTTTTGTTCCATTATCCTGTTTCAACACATGTTACTGTAATGGCAACCTTTGCTGCTCCTTCCACAATTTTTGGAATGACTGCCACTCTTGTCTACACAGGGGAAATTCATCAAAATATTCAAATCAGTTTCAAAAGTATCTGGAAGCACGGGGTACAGAAGTCTCCAGCAGTGGGCGCCATTCTTATAACTCGCTTAGTGAGACCTCCTCAAAGCAGATTTAACTAAACTAAACTAGTTATAACAACAGTTCTTGTCTCCAGAGCCTTGTATATAATGAAGCTCCAGCTGGTTTTAAAATTAGTTCTGCTTGTTTGGAATTTTGAGAAAATATCCCCTGTGCTGAGCAGGCCAGTAAAAGAACACCAGTAAGGCAAAGAATAGGCAAATCACAACATGAAAGCCCCATTGCTGGAGTCGTTAAAGGCAGGATTGGACAAAACACTCAAGAGTATACTATAAGAAACAATTCTTTATTGGTAGGGGAAAATGAGAATAGTTCTCACCATATCTGATTTTCATGATACATAACAGCAGGGCTGAGACATGCTAAAGCCTATTTTGTGCTAATCAGCACAGCAAGACCAATAGAGAAAATCATGTAATTGTAGCTTTCTTTATAGTAAACGAACCCAAGCCAGGACAAACATCACAGACTCAATGACAGATTAGTTGTCTAATCAAAGCATACAACAAAAGACATTTCACTGTCAGATTAGGTAGCACAGGGGAGTGAGTATATGTTCAAGAATTTAGAGCAAAATGAAGTCTCCAACAAACCTGTATCTAACTATTCACTCTTTTTAACTAATGAGGGGAAATAAGGGAGTGTCTTTCCTTTGCAGATCTTCATCTGGTTTTCTCTTGAGCATGTGTTAGAGCATGATATGGTGTGGTTCTGAGCCCCTTGAGGATATGCTCAACACTTCACAGAACTGGATCTTTAGGCCAGGCCTGTACTTGAATTAAAACTAGGTTCAACAGAATGGTGCAGACAGAGCCATTGATTTGATGTTATATACTGAAGGCATGATAAAGAGAATACAATATTATTCAAATAAAACCACACCTTAATTGTAAAACGATAGCTAAGTACATAGATTAGATAGATATACAAGAAATCGGATTATAGTTATTAAGAAAAAAAGAATGTTGATAGTTATTTTAGTAGTTCATCAAATATGTTTATCCTAAACTATATTGGTTGGCTCATATAAATTACTGTTAATATATTCAACCAATTATATACCAATAGGACAAAATCAGACCCTTGAATCCAAACCTCTACAAATTTCAGAGCCGTGGGAAGCCAAATTTGAATTGCTAGATCCAAGTACACCCATATAGTTTTGCTGCCAGGTCAGATCTGGAACTAGAAGGTATGTATTTTCTAGTTTGAATGTGGCCAGAATCTCATGACAGCAAGGTTTCCATTGTTGACAACTGCATTTAAAAATTCTCTTTTAGAACAGGAATGGTTGGATTAGAAATGGAGTGTTTTTTTCTGTAAAAGCTGCTCTACTGTTTCTCTGTTTTCTCTGCTTATAGCGAACCCAGGACAGTTAGTTTGTTCATTCAAGGTTTCAGGTTCACCAGAGTAACATACATATAAATCATCAATACTACATTGATGCCAGTGTAAAAAAATTCCACTGAATGATATAACAAAGTTCAGTTTTTGCAATTATTTTTTTTATATGCTTTCTGGGAACCCGTCTGGAAAAATATGGTAGTTTAATGAATGAAACATCACATACCTTATGAAGGAATGCATATTTTGTTTAAAATTTAGAATCTTCGATCAGAGGTTGGCTCCCAAGTGGGAGACTCGTTTTAGAATCATAGCCTGAAGTGTCTTATTCCCCAGGTTATCAAAGCACAGGAGAGAGGCTGTGTTTTGCTCAAGAGCATGTGGTTATGGCTTGTGTTACTGAACAGTGACATCTACTGGACAGTCACTAATGCTATTAACTCAGACCCTATGCTGGAGAATTGTGGTAATGGATGGCGTATCTATCAAGAGGGGAAACAGCTATGTAAAAGGGAAAACAGGGCCTTTTTGCAGGCATGGAGATGCTTTGTAGCCCCTGCAGCTCAGACTTTTACAGCAATGGAGAAATGCAGCCAAGTCCTTGAATGAGCAGCAGCCAGCTC